CCAACCCCTTAACACCCCGGATTTACCTTTTTTTCACAAAATATTTTTATTTTTGGGTAAAAAAAATTTTTTAAACCTTTTTTCTTTTTAAATTCGTGTACAAAACAAAAGATGCAGTTTTTTACTTGGGTTCATAAGTTCTTAAAAGGTTTAAAATTTTCTCTTGGGAAAAAGGAATATTTTTTGTTTCCCCAGCAATTCATGGGGTTCCCAACAAACATTTACAATTAAAAATTTCGGAAAGGGTTTCTATTTGAATGTTTTCCCGCCTTTGTTTTAAAAATTAACCCCGGGAAAAAAGAGTTTTTTGCCGGAAAATCCCAAAATTTACCCTAGTCATCGGTTTTACATTAAAAACACAATTTTTTTAGAAATTATTTGCGACAAGCATGTGAGTGTTTTAGAAAAAAATTGCACTCTGTCCTATCTGTTTTCATTTCTCATTTTCGTTACATTTATTAAAATATATTTCTGTAAATTTTCTTGTCAAATTGATTCATAATATTTTATGATTTTAAGTTTTAAATCAATTTGACTTATTCAAAAAATAGGCAGGCCATGTTAACATTCTCTTATCCCTCTAACATTTATAACTATGCCATTCCATTTAAAATAGACTTAAACAGAATATGCGTCTCTTAAACGCTTATCACTTTTTTCTCAAAACTTCTTCCAAAAGGAACTTCCTTTCAAAGAATTACCTCTTTGACAAAAGGAAGTTTTAAATAATTGTTATCATAGTCCAATACTGCCTACTGTCGCGACATTTATAGAACGTAGATTAGACAGTTACAATTATTACTGTATTTGGGTCAAAACAAATAAACAAGATCACAACACATTCATGTTAATATTTTAGTTTTAAGTATAAAACAGTAAAAAATAAGTATAAAATCATATTTTGTTATGATTTCAAAATTTAGAAAATCAAAGGCAGTCTTGTCTATAAAAGCAGCATATGTTATGATAGTGATCACATACACTACGTTCCAACCTCGTTCAGTTAAAGTGTATTATATTAATACAGATTTAACATTTTTTAATTAAAAAATGTTTCAAAATTCAAAAGAAAATCCCTTAGGCACTACTAGTTTGCTTCAACCAAATAAATTAATCGTAAAATCGTATGTAGCGGTAATATGATGTACTGAACTAAATTTTTGTTAGGTTAAGATTGATCTGTCAAAAGAACTACAATACAGTTAACACTCTCCTACATTTTTACCATGTAATGTCAACGTGTCATTCGATTAAAAAGGTTATCACAATGTTCTGAATTTCGAACAGCACAGTGGCTAAAATGAAACAAATTGTCCACATTTTGAATAATGTACACATTTTGAATAGCTTATCTTAACACGGCATGCCATTTTTACACGATAAAGTTTGATGTTTCAGTAAGTTAAAAAAGTAGTAACACTTAAAATGTCTCATTATACATTAAAGAAATGCAAATTGCAGTTTTCATAAATGTAGAATAAAATCAAATTAACAATTATCATAATAAGAACGAGTGTAAGTTCTGTTATGCTGTTGCGTTTCTGTCTTTCATTTTAAAATTTCCGTTAAATTATTCATTTAGATCATTGAAGGCAAAGAAATTCTATTTTATTATGAGTTTACTAATTTACTGTCTCCTAATATCAAAATGTAATAATTGATAACGGAATGTGGAGTCACACCATTGTGATATAGGGAATGGTGTCAATGACCATCACCTTTAAATGTAGTTGCAAAATAATAAAAACTTCTACAGTGACACTTTGATAGACATAACCTTTTGGAACCGATGTTATTTGGATATTTGACCTTTTTATTCGAGCGCTTTATAGAAGTAGATGAAACATTTGTATTTGAAACACCATTTTGACTTTATAAAACAGTTTTAATGCTTATCTCAGTAGTGGCGATTGCTACCTTTGCTTAAAACAGCTTATGTTTATATCATGTTGTTTTTTGTGTTCAACCTAATCTATATCCTTATTACAACGATGCTAACAAGATATTTGATCAAATGAAGACAACATTTATTTTTCGTACGGTCTCTTAAGAAAAGTGCTTCATACAAAAGTGTTAACATGTCAATTTAGAACAAAGTTAGTAATTGGCAAGCAACATTTAAACACTCTGATTGTCAATTCCTTTACGTTGTAATTCAATATACATTGTTCGTTTCTAAAATAACATTTGTTTTAAAACTTTGTTTCACTGGTTTTCACACCTCCAAAATCCACTCACTGTGCCTGCAATGATTTAGGTTGAATGAACATTTTAAAACCGACAGTTTCAAAAATTCATTTAGATTTTCTAAGAAAAATTACAAATACAAGGAAAAGTACCCACGCTTATGAGTTATATGGGAAATTGAGGCGTTATCCGTTGCAAATTGTTATTAGTACGAAAATAATTCGGGTTTTGAATATTGTTATAATAACAAATGATTCGAATTTATATTCAAATATTTACAGTAACAGATATTTCAAACAATACTTGTTCCCATATCTATTCTTGAACCAAGGAGATATCACTATGAAAAATATCCACTTTCTAATAAAGCAAGACTAGTGCTGGTTGATCAATTTATAACAGATTGGAATGGAAAATTACAAAGGACAAACTATCCTATTTATATAAACAAGAACATAAAAGGGAGGACTATTTAACATTATTACCGAGAAACTTGTATATACCGCTTTTTAAATTTCGTACAGCTAATCGCCGACTTCCGGTAAAAATTCTAAGATATAACAGTACCTTTTTCAAGGAGCGTATCTGCGAAATGTTGAGCACTTGAAGGCAAATTTCAAGCATTAATGTCCTGTCGACGTTTATGAAAACGGAAATTAATATATTTCCCAAAAAATTAATTTTATAAACCCCCAATTTAATAAGAAAATTAAATTGTAAAAAAAGTTGTTTACCCCCCTTTTTTTTTAATTTTTAAGGGTTTTTTTTTTAATTTTTTGGGGTTTTTTTTTAATTATAATAAATATCTTGACTTTAAAAACCCAATTTTTTCCCTATTTTTGGGCAAAAAACCGATAAATAAACTTTTTAGTCACTATCCAAAATACAAAAACGGTCACCCCTTTGTTTTAAATTTTTTTTTAAAAAAGTTTCCTAAAAACTAAGAAAAAGGATTTTAAAAAGTTTTTGGGGAAAATTAACTGAGGACAACCAATAAACCTGTTTTTTTTTGCTTTATCTCATTTTTTTATCTCAAATTATAAAGGGAATATTTAAAAAACTTAACCTTTTTTTGTAAATTTAAATATAGGACAAAAAAAATTTTTGCTTTTTTTATAATATGCCCCCTTTTTATTTAGAAAAAACTTGGGTAATTTTTTCTTGTAAAAGTATCTCCATAACTCCCGGGGGTTTTGATTGAAACTTCACACCTTGTTTCCTTAAAAATTTTGTTTGCACAAGTCCTACTCAATTTGTTTTTTTTGCTAAAAATCCCCCTTTTTGCTTGAAATTCTTGGGTGTTTGCTGTAAGCTGTATCCCCCTAATACTAAAGGGGTTTGTCATTTTTTGGGGATTATCCTTAATGAGGTTTTAAATTAAAAACCCCTTTTAAAATTTCCTTTGTAGTTTTTGCTTTTTAGTTTTTAAAATAGGTAAAATTTTTTAAACTCAAAAAACCCCTTTGTGAAAATTTCCAAATATCCCCTCCGTCCTCCAGTTCTTTTTAAAAAAAATTTTTCATAGACTGAAATTCCTTAAAAATATCGTGCAACACAAAATAGCTTAAAAGGGAGTAAATCGTGTCTTTGTATATATACAGTTATTTAAGATTTACACTGTTCCCATCGTGAAAGCTATTTAGTAAAAAATTCATTACATTAGACACACATTGTTCTTATTAACTGATCTTTTTGAAATATATGTGGCATGTCTAGTTCTATACAAATTGTCTAATACACCCACATATGTTTAATGATATTATTTGTAAATTGTCTGTTGTAACATTATATGTAATCTTAACTAAATAATGACTAAACAAAAAAAAAACATTTTGTTTTATATTTTATTGTATTGTAATGTAAATATTTGTTGTCATAATAGCGGTCTGGAAACATTTAAGTAGAGTCTCTTATGATGATAACAGTGTGATCAAAGTGACGTTACTCTTATATAAACACGAGAGGGCTTATTGTACTAACGTTATAGACCATTTAAGTCTGAGCTATCTCTAACAAGGATAAAACATAAAAAAATGAAATAAATAACAAAAATAATTCTAGTAAACATATAGTGCAAATAAAGCATAAAGCAAATTTAACATTGTGTTAAGTCATAGTAAACACAAGTTAACTTCAAAATTTTCATAAATATGGATGTATTGACGATAAAAAGAATGAATTTAATTAAATAAAACACTAGAAGTCTATATATTAAATGACATAATACGTAATGAACAAAAACAAGAACGGAAGAATAAAATGAAATTACACAGCTTAAAGAAAGAAAAAACACACTCAGGCAGTGCACTGTTTAATTATACGCCTCAATTGCATTGCCGACTGTGTCAACATTCACTTAACAATAATAGTTCTATCATATATTCAAGGTCAACGGTAATGACATATTTTCAGTCATATATATAAATTAAAGAAGATTGTGTTGACATATATCCAACGTTTTTATTTCACTGTCATATATCCAGTGTAATTGTTTCTGCCATAATTTCAATTCTTATTTTACATTCAAAGTTAATTATGCTGTCATACATTCAAGACAAGTTATGCTGTTATATAATCAATCTTAATTGTAATGACATATATTGCATGTCTATAGTGCTGTCGAATATTTCATATTTTTTGTTTTAATGAAACTAATGCAATCATTAGTTTTTGACGATTCTAATTTAGGTGTTTCAATTTGTCGTAGCACGTCTGTATTAGTAAAGAAATTGGAACACGTCTTACCTTAATGATAAGGATTTTACAAAACAATTCTATGTGTCTAAATATGGAATTTTGAAGATGTCATCTTAGGTTATCTTAAGTTTTTCGCCTTTAAAAGGCAGTTTTACTTGTGTCTCAAATCACTTGTACACAGGCACGTAGCGTCAGTTAAAGGTAAGAACATTTAAGTGGATATTCATAAAAGATTGTGTGTACACAAACGATAATCGTTTGTTATAAAGGTTTCCGATACAAATGATCTAACAGATATATTTTATTTTTATTATAATAATGCCAGTTACTTATTCAAACTCTGCAATATTTACTGGAGTCTCTGATACAAAAGTATTGCAAGTATTTGTTTCAAATTAATTTCTTAATGTATGAAAACAATTTTGTTTTTGTCTAAGGAGTCGTGTTTTATTTCACAATCTAAATGTTAGATATATTAATCCTTATGTTTAAGCGAAAACGAGGTGTCTTATTTTATCCTAATTATATATAAATTGTATTATAGTAAGTTTTAGCACGTAGCTTTATCTATTCCTTAATAGTTCTACTTTGACAATTGCAGTATAAAGATGAAGCTGTTCTTGGTTTGCCTCCTCCTTCCAATAGCTCTTGCAGCACCACTAGGTATCTTTAAAAGTCTTGCAGTTTGATAAATGTTTACATAGACACGTGTTCATGTATATATTTCCATTTCGAGAATTCCGCTTGATAAATAGATTTAAAAATAAAACATTAACGATGGAAATAAAACACAAACAAACTCAACAAATAAAGAAATACCATGCAGTGTCAACATTACTTTTTAACAATCTACACATATGTGCAACCCCGACAAGACTCTATATTGTATGTAGCTCTTTTTTCTTCAATATTTCTATAATGAACTCCAATAAACATCGTTTAAATGATCAAATTTTAAAGTAAAGTGAATCTATTCATTAGGAGATAACGGGATGGCTACTTTTATGTAGATTACATATGATTATTCAGTTTGTCTGATAAACTTGCATTGTTTTTCTGATTACATTGGACGATTCAATTACTTTCCATATGTAAAAGCAGTCAAGTATTATTTGGAACATTTAACTTAATAATTGTCGCACGTAACTGAAAGAAAATAATATGATCAATAAGTGTTCATATAAGGTATAACTTCATTATGAAATTACATCAACTCAGTTCGAAACACATTCACAACTACTTTTTGATGAAGATAATTTAACATAACACATTTTTATTGTTTTCAGATGATTCAAAGAGATTCATTATCGGTGGCTTTACTATAGACAGTCTGTGTAAGTACTAAATATATTGATAAGTACACCCTACCACTTTTGTGCCGTCTTTACCAACAAGTCTTTACCAATTCCTTAAGTCCGAATTGCTGCCTAAGACAGTGGACATGTTCGACACAAGTGTATGTAGTTACGTGTTTTCGGCTTGCATTCGGAGGGGGACAAAGAGCTGTGTACCAGCATCCCGAATGATGGTCACTATTATCAATCATTTTCCTCGTATTTGAAGATTATTTTAACACTCTAGATAATATGCTATTACAAATCATAGCAACTTCGTCAAAGAATTTTTATATTCCGTTTGTTTTTATCTAAATCAATAATGTTTGTGCCATGTTGAATTTCAAACATTTAAGGATAGAAATAATTTAACACATAATTGTAAAACCTATTTTGGTTATTAAATATAAGCTTTTGTGACAAGTTATAACTTTTACACGTTTTTTTTTACATTACAATATAATTTAAACGGATATCTTTACAGTTGACCTGAATACCTTGAAGTGTGATGTGCAAATCATGCTTGATGTAGTAGGAAGTGATCCAACGGAACAAGCCTGTGAGCAAGAGTGCCACGTGCTGATCAAGGATGGATTGTTAGATCATGGTTGTCCTCTTATTTGTCATGCGTATGTCGACTTTATACATTTTTGTTTCTACAGTTTGATCTCTTAACTATTTTTTCTAAATTTACGACAGTTAAAAATACCAATAACCCGTTTTTTTAAAGGAAGCTAAATGTATTAGCTAAAGTAAGTAATATTTTGTAAACACTCATTATATGTATAAAGAAGTAAACATTAATTAGACACAAAACTGAAACTCAACGTGAAAGCAGCATAGTCTACGGTTTATAAAATTTTAATTTTTTTTAATAAAGTATCAAAAAGATCAATGTTTATACTTATATAATTTAAGAATGTACGACTAATGCTGACTCACATTTTTTTTTTTTGT